GACGTCGCTCCGGGGGAGTGCCCGGCGGGGCCGGGGGGGGGGCGGGGGGGGGGGGGGGGGGGGGGGGGGGGGGGGGGGGGGGGGGGGGGGCGGGTTCGGTCGGACGACCACTACACACACACACACACCCAAGAACGCGACGCGGGCATTTCTGTTAAGAGTAAACTGGAACACCGGACGCGGGCAACGGCCCACCGCGGCATCATGGGGCGGTCACGCGCGGGCGGGATCACGCGCGGGACCATATTTAAACTCTCCAAAATAACCGGAAGCGTCGGCGCGCGCGCCGCCCATTCGTGGGCAGCTGCCACCGCGCCGGCCATCGCGCGCACGCCCCTCCGAGAGCCGGCTGGAGGGCCACGCTACGACGGGGGAGAGATGCTTCCCGTTGTTGTATGGGCGGGGGGGGGGCGGGGGCTGTTGTCCGGCCGCGCATGCTAGCCGTGTGCGGACCGATCTGCGTGCAGGTGCGTCGCATGCCGGGGCCGCGGGCCGGTGAGCCGGTTGTGGGCGGCGGCGGCGGCGGCGACACGACTTGGGGAGGCCCTCCTCCGGCCGGGGTGGGTAGTGTTTTCGGCCGGCCCCCGGCCCCTGGCGCGTGCGACAGCAGGGACCCCCGGGTGCTGGCCGTCCGTTCAGGGGGGGGGGGGGGGGGGGGGGGGGACGCACGGACTGCGGGGCCGGCGCCGGGGAGCTGAAGGTGGCCGCGGGCCAGGGGGGGCAGACAAGGCACTGCCGGGGAGATGTGCATGCGCTTATCGCCCCCCGGTGCCCGGCCCGACGGTTGGCCGTTGGGTCGGCCCGGGCGGCCCCGGTTGTGGAGTGTGTGCGCGGCCCGGGCCGCCCTTCCTCGGCCCGGGGGCCGGGGTTCCGACGCGCCAAAGGGGCACGCCGGCGCCGGGAGCTGGCTCTCCCGTTGCTGGCCATTCCCCTCTCGCCACCTCCCCTCCTGCGCCCCTTCCTCCTTCTCTTCGCCCACGGTGACTGGTTCCCCCCCCCGCGCGCGTGCGCGCCTGCCTGCCCCCTTCCGCCCTCCCTCCCCTTCCTTCCCCTCTGGACTCCCGCTCCTCCCCGCGAGCCGCCATGACCACCGGGCCGCTGGCTCACCCGCCGGAGGCGGCCGCCGCGCCTACGGCCGTCCCCGTTCCCCTCCCCCTGGCGCCTGTTGAGGGCCCCCCTCTGCCCATGGCCGAGACGGCGTCCAAGCCCCCGGGGCCGGGCGCCGCCGAGGCAGGCGCTGTTGGCATCGCCCCCACGGCCGTCGCCACATCGGCGGCGGCGGCTGCTGCTGCTGCTGCTGCTGCTGCTGCTGCTGCCGCTGCTGCTGCTGCTCCGGCGGCTGTGACCGGGGCCGTTCCGACCGCCGCCATGGCCGCCCCGCCGGCGACGTCCCGGCCGGCGGCCGCGCCTGCCCCATCGGCCCCGCCGTCGGAGGTGATCTTCGAATCCCTGGATTGCATCTACCACATGAAGGGTGCGCTTTGCCCGGGCCGCGCCTTGAGCCTCTTCCCTTGTCCCTGTGCCCCATTGGGCGCTTGGGTTCTCTCTCTCTCTCTCTAACACCTTCCTGCTTGATGTGTGTCCCCTGTAGACGGCCGCCGACGCGAGCTCCTCTCGACGGACTTGCACTTTGATGGCGTCCGCCTGGCCACCGGTGGCATTGGTCCGTGCTCATGCCCTTGCTCGCCCCTCCCCCGCCCCCCCCCCCCGCGCCCAAGGTGTTGCCGCCCATTCTGACACCTGCTCCCTGGGGCTTGGCATGTCGCTCCGCCGGTGGATGCTCCTGCGCATGGGCGGACACATGCACGCCCCTGTGCAATGCATATGCATGTATGTGCGCATGCACGCACGCACGTATGCACGCACCCCC